CAGAGTTTTTATGGGTTTGGAAAGCTTTGATAAGATGTTTAAAGAATCTCATGGAAGACGACCCTAAATCTAAATCCCTCTATTTCTAATAGGCAGAAAATGCAATTAACCATCTTTCCCTGGAGTGGTAATATAGCAGGCTCCAGCAGGTGTGTTACTATTGCAATATCAAAATAAAAACTCTAGTCAGCCTTTCGCTATAAAAATAAGTGAAATGCAGAGCAGATGCTGTAATAACCATTAATTTACATTCACCACCTATATTTGTTATAAAAGTAGATGAGGACACTGGAAAAACAAGTTATTTTTGGCTCTTCCATGCAGTATCACAAGAAAGCTACTGTAATGTTTTTAGCAGAGCAATGAATACATATTGGCCAAATTTATCTCTGCTATAACCCTGCAGAAATGTAGAATGAATTTAGTCCTAAATTCCACTTTGTGGAAGGGAGGATAAAATTAGAGGCATTTATTGAACATCACCTGAAGTTTTACCTGATCTGATACCGAACTAACTTTATAAAACTTCACAAGGGAAACAGAATATGGAGATTGTACCTAAATCTTACTGCTCAGAATCTGTATTAATCAGTTCCTGTTAGAAACAGGTTTGAATTAGTTGTGTAATAACCTAGAACCAGAGGAACTCAAAAGGACAGTAGCATTTCTTGGGTGTGATTTCTGTAAGACTTCTGTGCTTAGTCCTCAGGTTTTTGTACCGATGTAACAATATGGCATGTTCCTGCATGAGCCACATGTAAGCGTGGACACATGGCTACTGGGTGAAAGGGCCAACAGTACCTTAGATTGTGCAGTACCTTTCAATTGGGGCTGAACTGGTGCATTTACAATTAAATGAACTTTGCCATAGGTCATTTTAAGCGTGCTGTTTATTAGTTTTGAGAGGTGAAAGCATAAAGCTCAACCAGCCTTGTTGGTTTACCAGAATGGTTGAAAGTTAAAGCACAGCGTTCAACTCCTGAAGTATTTTGTCTTTAAACACATGGGACCTGTGTCACCTCTGTCTTTGCTGTAATATTTGACAGCCCTTTCTACTAATGGCAAAGTATAAAAACAAGTGAAATAATTTCAGAATGATTCCTGGTTTCATTTTTTTCATGAAATACTGGAATTAAACCAGAGTTTTGACTGCTCTGCAGAGTTGTGTTTTTCTATTGAGGCTACAATCTAACAGATTGCTGTTCTAATAAAATCAAGGCACAAGTCTTTTTCCTCTCTGATTGTTATTCATACAGGTGGGTGCTTTTGGTATTTTGCTTTTATTTGCCTGTATTACAAATCTGATTTTTTGGAAGGCCCTATTATGTATCTGCCTCAGTTTTGAATGGAACCTTGATTAATGTCTTTTACTGGTGGCTTGCTAGACCTGTGAAACACATCAGTGGGAATTGTTTCAGGCTGGCTGTGAAGGCAAGCTCTTGTGGGCTTCCAGCTAAGAGAAAAAAGGTACTCACACAGAAAATTATCAAAGGTTCACTTTGGTAGAAAAAATGGGTTTTGTGCCATCGTTGTTGAAAAGTTCAAAGGTTTTTCTTTTCCCCGTGATTTTTCAGTGAAAACACCTGAGCAAATTCACCACAAATTTCCTGGTAGATTCAGTTCACAGTAGGCATTTCTCAGAGAAAAAAAACATTGGGCTTGAAATCTGTTTTTCTAACTGGAAGTGTTACCGTTGTGCTGTGTTATTTTTTAGTAAAAGAGCCAGTGCCTAAGAGTTTCATGCTGAGCAATTTTGAGTGGGGTGAGGTAAGTAATCATGGCAGTCAGGTGAAGTTCCCGATGACTGGAAAAAGGGAAATGTAACCCCCATTTTCAAGAAGGGAAAAATGGATGACCCGGGGAATTACAGACCAGTCAGTCTCACCTCTGTGCCTGGCAAAATCTTGGAGCAGATTCTCCTGGAAGGCATGCTAAGGCACATGAAAATCAACAAGGTGCTTGGTGACAGCCAGCAGGGCTTCACTAAGGGGAAATCCTGCCTGACCAATTTGGTGGCTTTCCATGATGGGGCTACAGAACTGATGGACAGGGGTAGAGCAGCTGATGTCATCTACCTGGACTTGTGCAAAGCGTTCGACACTGTCCCACACGACATCCTTGTCTCTAAATTGGAGCGCCATCAATTTGATGGATGGACCACTCAGTGGATAAAGAATTGGCTGGATGGCTGCACACAAAGAGTTGTGGTCAATGGCTCCATGTCTGGCTGTAGACCAGTAACAAGTGGCATCCGTCCGGGATCGGTGTTGGGACCGGTCTTGTTTAACATCTTCATTGCTGACATGGACAGTGGGATTGAGTGCGCCCTCAGTAAGTTTGCCGATGACACCGAGCTGTGTGGTTCGGTTGATACCCTGGAGGGAAGGAATGCCATCCAGAGGGACCTTGACACACTTGTGAGGTGGGCTGATGCCAACCTCATGAGGTTTAACCATGCCAAGTGCAAGGTCCTGCACCTGAGTCGGAGCAATCCCAGGCACAGCTACAGGTTGGGCAGAGAAGAGATTCAGAGCAGCCCTGTGGAGAAGGACTTGGGGGTATTGGTCAATGAGAAAATGAACATGAGCCGGCTTCAGTGTGTGCTCGCAGCCCAGAAAGCCAACCATATCCTGGGCTGCATCAAAAGGAGCGTGACCAGCAGGTCGAAGGAGGTGATCCTGCCCCTCTACTCTGCTCTTGTGAGACCTCACCTGGAGTATTGTGTGCAGTTCTGGTGTCCTCAACATAAAAAGGACATGGAACTGTTGGAAAAAGTCCAGAGAAGGGCCATGAGGATGATCAGGGGACTGGAGCACCTCCCGTATGAAGACAGGCTGAGGAAGTTGGGGCTGTTCAGCCTGGAGAAGAGAAGGCTGCGTGGAGACCTTACAGCAGCCTTCCAGGATATGAAGGGGCCTATAGGGATACCGAAGAAGGACTCTTCATCAAGGACTGTAGTGACAGGATAAGGAGTAATGGGTTAAAACTTAAACAGGGGAAGTTTAGATTGGGTATAAGGAGGAAATTCTTTCCTATTAGGGTGGTGAGGCACTGGAATAGGTTGCCCAGGGAGGTTGTGAATGCTCCATCCCTGGCAGTGTTCAAGACCAGGTTGGACGAGGCCTTCGGTGATATGATTTAGCATAAGGTGTCCCTGCCCATGGCAGGGGGGTTGGAACTAGATGATCTTAAGGTCCTTTCCAACCCTAACTATTCTATGATTCTATGATTCTAAGTAGTCAGACAGTGACTTGCAGTGATTCTCCCTCACCCATCAAATATACAAGGAGAGAATGGCATCTCTGTATGTGTCATTTTTCAGTGGCCATGTGTGTTAGCAGGGTTCTGGCTTTAACCCTGACACAGAGGGATATTCACGCAACGTGACTGTGGCTATTTTACATTGCCAGTTGCTTTCCCTGGACTCCTTTGGTTGTCAGTGGAAAGCAAATACCTCTCTGGAGGGCAATTCAGAAAAGGAGCCTAATTTAGTTGTGCAGAATTGGTCTCTGGAGAATCTCTACTTCTCTCCATTGACTGTAAAGGGCATCTACGTTTGAGCTTAAAGATCGATGGTGGGAATACTTCCTTCTTTTTTTTCCCCAGCTTCCTCAGGAGTTCTGACCTGATTTTAAAGGCCCTGAGTAACTGGATCATGCGATGTTTCTTCTCGAGAGCGGCACACAAGGGAGTGCATTTCACAGGCCAGATTTGAAGGGCCTGGATGCTTAGACCCAGTGGATTTAAAAGACATAGGATCCAAAGGTTGAATCTCTATTAAGCAACTGGTAATGGACTACAAAGATAATAATCGTTAAGCTATACCAAGAGTGCAGAATTGATCTTGAGCAGCTACCTGGGGCAGGAAGTAGGGGAGAAACACGTGCCATGTTGTGGACAGGTATTTATATACAAATTGCTGTCTGGAGAGGAAACTAACTTTGTTTGCATTGAGCACAAAGCCACAGAATGGTGTTTCCACGAAAATGGCAGTCCAACAAAAGTTACATCTCCATCAACAGGTAATGCAGTATAAAGCGAGTAGATAGGTGGGATGAAAGAATGGGTGTTGAGCATCTCACATCCACTATGCTGGTTTCAGGGGGTGAGGCTGTTGGGGCAAGGAGGGCTGTTGTTCTTTGGACTAGCTTTAGTCTGGTCCTGTGGACTGGACCACTTGAGTGGCTGGTTGTATTTGGTGCTCTGATTGTATGTTCGGATGCAGTTTTGTCCTAAAGGAATCCTCAGGGTGCATCGCGGGCTAGTACAGTGATGACTGGAAGATGCGCATCAGAAGTGCTTTCTGAATCCAAATCAAATTGCTAATGTAGTCCTACCCAAAGACACTTTAAAGGGACAGACATTTATTTTAAGCTTCCTGAATGCCCTTTGTACAGCTAAGTAGATTTGCTTGAATATTTTAATCAACTTTGTTAAATTGAAGTTAATTTCCTTCAGAATGCTTCTCTCTAATTTTTCCTTCACCCCCCCTCCCTAATTCAGTGAACTCCTCTGCCTGCCCTTAAGAACATCAGAGCCTGGTACATGACCACCTTACATCCCAATGGTCAGCTGGCTGCAGCATGCCATAGGATGAGATGTTACTCCTGGTTTAGCTATATTTTGTATTTCCATTGAGCAGAAATCAGAAAGTACCCAGAGCTGGAAAAATTGTGAGTGACACACACAGATCTTTCACAGGATAAGGAAAGGAAGAGAGGTGACTGTAATAAAGGGTCAAGCTTGCTGTATTGTGGCTTGTACCTCTGATAGAGGGAAGAGTATTACTGTCTGGTAAGGACTCCAGAGCTTCAGCCAGTGATGAGGTGTTTCATGAACTCTGAACTAAAACCCCAATTCAGACATGTCTTAGTTACCTTGAAGGGGTGCCAATACACAATCTACACATGGTAGCAGAAAATCCATTTTCTACTTTTGTAATTTTTTTTATTATACACTTTTGTCCCATTTGCTTTTATGTTTTCTCTAGTTACTTTAGTCCAAACCATGAAACAAATACTACAAGCTAAAATGTTTGTAGTATGTATTCCCTCTCATCCTTTATGTACAGCACCATAGCCTAATGGCATGTATGCCGTTTAAGGTTCCCATTAGCTTTGTGAATAGCACAAAACAAATATTACCTTATGCTCCAGACAGGATAACATCTAAAGGCATTAACTCTACAAGAACTTGGCCAGATTTTCAAGTATGGGTAATGAATGACCTACAAACCCTTACAACAGCAGCTTTCTCCTGCTGGCCTACTATTGCTGTCCCCTGGAGATGAGGCTTTGGAGAAATAATCATCAGCCAGTTCCATTCAGGCATTCACCCCTCTCCTGAGATTCACAAAAGGGTGATGAAGTACATGTTTGTGTGCTTTTTAATGCGATCAGCAGATGCTCCGTGGTGACCACAAAGAGTATCTGAAAGACAGAAAAAAACAACCTAGGTGGTTTTTGAAACAGCAGTGACCTGAAGTGGATGTTTTCAAACCGTGAATCTCCTTTAGAGCTGTTGTGTGTCGGGTATGTTGCACTTTAATCAGGATTTCAAAAGAGTACAAACAAAAACATGGGTAGGAAAAGGAAGAGTGGGTTACTGGCCTTGCCTAAAATTCAGAGGTAGCAGAGAGCTCACCAGAGAAATGCACACCCTTGCACACGTGCTATAGCACACAAATTCCATTTATAAATATTGCAGCAGAGGAAGGTACAAATGTAGTCATTTGTGATTTCAATAATTTATATCAATACACGATTCATGAATTCAGTATTTGCACATTTGGAGAATGCTACGGCTGAAGAGGATCTACTGGGAATGCAAGAGATGGGTAAATAATGGCTTCCATGTCTTTTCAGCACCTTGGAAGAGTAAGCTACAAAATTCAAAGATCCAGGTAATTCCTGACCTTAAAACTACTGCCAAATACATGAATGAATGCAAGTCATAAAGCAAGAAAAAAATTACCCATGAACCTGAGTGTTGAAAACTGTCTAAACACTGAATTTGTAACTCTTAAGTCTGCAGATATATCTTCCTATACACAAAAGCAACTCTATTCAAAGATATCAGCAGCTCACTTTTCTTTGATTTTAGTACTGTAGTACATATGTGTGTGCATGTGTATATATATTTGTTGGGTGCATAAAATACTCTTCTATCTCCTCAATAGATTCCATTTCCAAATCAATGTATATCAAAATGCCATGTGATACGTAGTCCACTGCAAAACCTTCCAAGGACTCAAAATAGTTTTGGGTCCTTGATAGAATTTCACCAGCGGATGTAGTGACCAGTAACTAGGAGAGTGGGGAAAGTGCATCATTATCACTTTGTAAATCTGACTCTGAGGTATATAAGGTTCTTGATAGCTTTGGGAGATAGCAATGTCAGTAGCAAGAGACTTTGCTTCTGTTGGGTTCTTTTTTAACTATTTTTATTTCCGTGTTTCAAAATTAGGGATGTTGGGGTGTGTTTTGATGGGAAGCAGGGCAGAGTCTCTTCTGCTGTGAGACCAGTGTGTCATCTGTCACGCTTGGTGGCAAGAGAGCTTTCTTTTCTCAACATGAAACACAATTGTTGCCAGAGGTAGGAACTTGGGCTTAGCTCTGATTTATTTATGTTATTTTTGTCATGGAAAAATGAAAAATTCAGGCAAATATCTTCAACAGAAAACTGATGACCAGCTGAGAAAACAGTCGAAACAAGGTGGGGAGATTAGAGTGGTTTAGTCTTTTGAAGAAAGATTTGATTACATTTTTCTAGCTGTCACAATTATTGATGGTTTAATCTGTAAGTCTTTTTGTGCCAACCTAATTTTCATTGATGACATGAAAATTTTATGACTCAAAAATTACTTTTCATTTTTATAGGTGATTTTAAAGGGAATTTTAAAAATAAAACTTCAAAGCTCCTGTTAAAGTGAATAATTCCTGCCTCAACTGTAACTAGCGTTTATATTCATACGGTGATGTAGACACTGCAACCACTTTAACGCAACCAGATAATTCTGGCTACTGTGATTTGTTACCGGTATATTGCCACAGTCACTGAACAGTAGGAGAGGTGATGCAGTCGTAAAAACCCACCACCGTGCTTATTTTTGGAGTTGTCACAACTGGTAGTGCAACAGCAGATGGGAAATCTTCAGAAAGTTCTCATCCAAGTGTAGCTTGAACTGCTTAATGAGAAATGGAAATCTCCTGCTGAATGTGCTTTCAGTTCTTCTTTTAATAAAGGGTAAGAAAAGCCCCAAGAATTATTTATTGTTTGTCTCTGAAAGTGTCGTTCGGAAACACAGCATCACAATGAGGGGCTCTACTTTATGTATGGTTTTTCCTTCAAAAAGGTAAACTATTCAACTGAGCCACCAAGGAGACAGAATCTGAGCGATTAAAGCATCTTCTTGCAGGGAAAAAATAATAGGCAGTTGCATTTTTTTGTTTGATACAGCTCTGCCCTAAAAATTGAACAGAAAAATCCTGTTAGGATGTGTTGTTGAGAGTTGTGTTTTATAATGCAGACACTATAAATTACAAACAAATAAAATGAAGATGCTAGTCATGTCCTTATCCAGATAAGCTGTGCTCTCATGATTAATCATGTCACCAGAAATCCATGTAGTCTATAACTGCTTGTCTTATTTATCTGTTTATTGGGCTATCAGATGTTCCCATATTATTAAATGCTTGCTCTCTGCTGAGAAGGTACTTAACATTTTGCATCACTGTGGGCTTTTTCCAGGGCTCCAAGCTCCACAGCTTGGTAGTCCCATTTAGTTTCTGCTGTCCTTCAGGCAACACCATCTGTCAGCTGCTCCTCAGTTCCCACATCAGGGCCTTGTCACCTGTGAGGACAAAGTTCTGATTAGAAGGCCTTCATTAGGTCTAGGGTGAGGTGCCCCTGCCCATGGCAGGGTATTGGAACTGGATGAGCTTAAGGTCCTTTCCAACCCAAACCATTCTGTGATTAGAGGCTGTACTTTTTTCAGTATCTAAGTTATTTGTAGGAGCTGTCCATAAGGGTAGACATTCTCTAACATCTGAATGTCCCCTTTCTCCCTGTAGCACCTAGCACATGCCAGCTAAGTGACAGTATGAGGGTGTCCCTACCTCAGGGGAGAACTTTCTGTTTTGAAAAGAAGGTTTCTGAGGGCAGTTCAATGTATTTTCCTTCAGGGTACGGTACTTCCCAGACGCAAGTTCACAGTCTAAGCCCTAGGCTTGCTCTGTAGTCAAGGAAGGATTTCCAGAGGGCAGATCTGAGCCACAGTTAGGCTTACTTGTCCTCTGGAAATGCCTCTGTGTATCTCCCCACTGTAGTAAGAGCCCAAGGTGATCAAAGTTACCACAGAGGAGCAAAGAAGTGGAGCAGCCCAAAAGGGTTTAGTTTGGCAGGAGAACTGCAAGACGGGGGCAGCAGAGGGGCAGCAGCTTCTGATCAGACTTGTCATAAAGTGACAGGAACTTCTGAGTGTTGAAGGACAGGAAAGCAGAGGAATTCACAGCTGGAAATGACTTTTTAGAAACATTACTGAACATTAAAAATTGTGACTTGAAGGATAGAATAAACAGGGCAAAACGCATCCTGTGTTCCTACCCTTCGTTCTTCCAGGTCACGAATTATTAGTCTCTAATTTCTGTGCATGGTCCTGGCAGCTGACATTTTCAGAGGGAAAATTGCTGGTTTGTAAGGAAGGAAAAGGGAAATTGGGAATGAAAAAGATGAAGCCAGAAATACTATTGAGTTCCAAGAGATATGGAAAGTGAGTAAGCAGTAGAGGAAGAGTCAAAAGAGCAGAAGAGGATCTTGATGTGATTAAATTAATTTGCTGAGATTTCACCAAATTTGTTTTTGAAACATTAATATGCATAGGATGCATGTTATGTGTGTGCACATAAGTAGGATACAATGCATAGGGTGCATGATATGAGTATGCACATAAAAAGGATAAAATCAAGGAAAGCAAACTCTGTCACCTCCCAAGGCTGTATTAGTTGTGCATTAACTTCTTTTTAGCAAGACAACTTGCTCTTAAAAACTCCCATTGATGAAGGATCCCCATTCTTGCCTGGCAGTGTATTACACTGTTCAGCCATCATTATTTGTTTTCCTAATAGCTACTACAAATCTTACTTGCTGCTGTTTAAATCCATTGTTTCTTGTCCTATTCGTTGTGGAGAAGGAGTAGCAGGACATGCTTCTCCTGTTTGCAACAGTCTACTACATATTTGAATAGTTATCGTGCCAACTCTAAGCATTCTTTGCTCTAGCCTTTGCACCCCTCACTTACTCAGATATATGTCCTAGGCTGTTGTTACACCCAGCTGTTTCCCATATTTATTAACAAACGTACTCAAAACTGCCCAGAAAAGTCTAGTCAAGACCATCTATCTCAGTTTCTAAATGGTGTGAAAATATGCCCATATGCTGAACAGGCAGCATTCCCATTTGCATGTCCCAGGGTGATGCCTACCTTATTTGTAATGGGAGACCGTTATTAATCCACCTCTTTAAAGTCTACTCTAATACCCTGATATTTTTTTCCACGGTTAAGCATATAACTTCCTGTCTTATGGGTGAAACTGTTCAACTGTTACAGATACAGTTGAAGATACTGTACAGAAGTACTGTACCTTGTACCTCTTGTCATATAAGTGCCATAGGGTTTTTTTTCCTAATTCTGTCCCAATCTCTACTGTGCTTGCAGCTACATCCACCTTGAGCTCACCAGAAAATGTAATAACCACGTTCTCTGTTTTGTCATTCTTGGCACCCCTGCAAACAGTGACTGGGACCGGGACAAACCGCTGTAATATCCCTTAACAGAGGTACATCAATAGCCAGCCATTATAATTGTGCTCAGACGATCCTTTTCCAAACACTTGCATGCCCACTTTTGAGTGGTTCCATCAGAAAGCAATGATGCATCTTACACAACTTCTTCCAGTATGCCCAGTTCAACCTCAGCTTTCGTTTTTGGCTGCACTTCCTAATGAACTCTAGTATTTGTACCGCTGCCTTCTATCTTCCTGGCTGGCCTGATTATTTTCCAACAACTTTTGTAATTATCCTTGAAGAACTAAATTGCTATCTGTTATGTACAGTCCATCTGTCATTATGATAACTGTTCCTCTCATAATATTTCCATGTGGACTTTAATTGGCAAGCTTTTGTAGCTTGGCAAAGATTTAATGAACTTTGTCTTTACTCTGAAGAACAAATTTCAAAGGCAGGAACAGTAACAAGTATAGCTGCTACTCACTCATAACATGCTCTGGGTTTATGGTTAGATATCTCTTTACCGATGCATGACATTGCAAAAATAGGCAAACCTGACTTTTTCTAGCATATGCTTTTCTACACAGCCACCTTTATTTGGATAAAAAAGGCTGTGGAGCGCTCTCACAAGGCAACTTCACAGCCTTTGCTATACAAACCCCGTGTAACTTCAGGGCATGTTGTTTCAGCTTGCTGGCTGCACTGAAGGCTGCTGCTTGTGATGTTAGATGGCTCTCTGCTGTGCCTGCTCCCACCTTGGAATAAAGTCACTTCTCTCAGAAAATATATTGCAAAAATTTCATTGAGAACAGTTTAGAAGAAAAATGCCTGCAAGTGTATTAAAGCATAAATCTTCTGCTAGCGCCTAATAACAAAGGTCTGCTAGGCCAGCATCTTGGATTTAAAATCTCAAGTAGGTTAAAGGTAATTATGATCACGTATATGCAGCACTGTACATTGTGGCTTATATAATTAGAGGTCTTATTTCTCCACAGACTATTCAGAATGTAGCAAATCCTTACAGACTGCAACACCTTCCACTTTGATTCTTCGAAGTGTTAATGAAGTTTCCAAGGCCTCTCGGAATGTCCTTTTGTGGTTTTGTTTGTTTGTTGGGAAGGGGGAGATACTGTTTGTTTGTGGTTTGGTTTTGATTTTTTGTAGAGGCAAGAAGCTCTGACCAGAACTGTTGTGTGGCTTTAGGTGGGAACTTTACATGAAAGAACTCTGGTGTTGCGATTGTTAATATCCAGCTAAATCCATCAGAGTGCATTTCCTTTTTCTGAAGTAGTAGCATTGCATTAATTTGATTTCTAGTTAACTGTAGCAGTAGAAGTGGTAAAAATAGATTATTTCTTAAAGTATGGGAGAGTTTTCATTTTAGAGACCATTTAGGCATTGCTTATTTAGCAATCCATAATTTGTTATTTGCATCTATCTCTATGCTCTGCAGAAGAATTAACACTCTGCCTCGAAGAGTACTTCAGATTTAGGTGACGATAGCGGTTCAGGACTATAAGGGCTTTCTCCTCATTCTGAGTCAGGGATGAGAAGTACAGAATACAGTAGAGAATATATATTGTTGTAAGCACCAGCTCTTTGATAAGATAGAGAAGAGGGATTACGGCTGTTAGGCACTTCTACTGTCACTTTTGAAAAATGCAACATTATTATTCCTTATGGCCAGGGACTTCAGATCTAATAACTTTATTCTGCATGCAGTTAATCTAATTTTTGCCAATTTTTTATCTAATACTTTGGTTTGTTGCTTTTGTTTCTTTACATCTAATATCAAGTAGCAAAGTAAC